TTTTAAAATTCACTATCTATGGGAGCACAAATTGCAAAACTTTATTTCTAACATTATTCTAGTCCACCTCTGCCAACATTGTACCTGCCTTGGCACACTGTACCCATCATGGCAGCCACCAACAGATTTATGATTTATTCTGGAGTGCATTTTTTAAATGAAAAAAAAAGTCAGATTTGAACCTAGAATTTTTTAGATGTATTGTATGTATAGTTGATACACAGGTCGCTCTTGTAAATGAGTCCTCGAGGCTCAATGAGACTAGCCTGTATAAATAAAGGTTGAATGAGTGAATGAATGAACCAGGTTTTTAATTAATATTTATCAAATCAGACATTAGATCTGGGCAGGGCTTAATTTGTAAACTGATCGATGTCAGAGTGCAAATAGCGGGTGGGCTGGCAGGGGGCGGGGGATGTCTGGGGGAACATTTTGAATAAAGCAGATCTGATTTCCTGCATTTTGGTGTATTTTAACAGGTTGTTAAACATCTATGTTTACCTACATTTGTAAACACTCCACTTCTGTCAAGCATCTTCCTACCCCCCCTCCCCGTTACTTGACGGTTCCGAGCCCGACTCCTCCGTCTGTCGTGGCTGCCTGTGGGCTCATGCTTGTATATGACTGCCTGGTTCGCTCGACACTCACCCACCACTTTTTTAGGGGCAGAGATCTGTTTAAGGGTAGACGCGTAAATGCTACTAGAAGAGGCAGCTCGTACGCTCGTAAGTGGCTGTTGTGTTTAAAATTTGTGTTTATATAATTATTTTCAGTTTACATATCCAATATAATTTTTATTCATTCAAGGCAGTCAAATTTGTTCATATTATTATTAGTAAGCCTGAGAGTTACCGGATCCAAGCAAACAGTTACCGGAACACACAGTATCAAAATAAGAAAGTTCCTGGTTCCTGTTCTGGCAGGATCTGGCTCAAATTAAGCCCTGGATCTGCGCACTCAGGGCTCATGTCTTAGATATAATTTAGAAAAGCTCCCACACTCTAGAACAGGGCTATTCAACTGGTGGTCCGCGGGTTGCTTTCAGCCCGCGGGTCACTTCAGTCCGGCCCACCAATGAGTTCTTTTTTTTTTTTTTTAAGGGGAGGGGTGTTTTGGGTTCTGTTTATTGCTTTTATGATTCAATGCAATAAAACAAACAAATGTATAAGGTAACAGATCATTGTAATACTTGGTTTATTTACATACTGTCTTTAATTGCTGGATGTCCAGCCCCTGGCCTTCAGAAACTGACCCCCTGAGCAGTTTAGTTGAATTCCAATTCAATTCAATTCAATTCAAAAATACTTTATTAATCCCAAAGGGAAATTATTTGTTGTTGTAACTCGTCATCCTCATTTCATTAAGAGATGTTATAGATACTGATGGCTGTAGGCAGGAAGGATCTCTTGTAAAGGTCCATCCCACAGTGGATCCTAAGAAGTTGGCTGCAGAATAGCTGAATGTATAGCTCTGCTCTAGAATTTACAGAAACCAAATTGAGAGAGCTTTACAACACTCGCAACAGCACAGTGACTATTTCGAGAAAACATTTTCATAATGTTTGAATATTTTCAAAATTCAAGTGAAAATCTTGCAAAGCTGTCACGTGCAACTCATGCAAGGACTTTGAAAACCCCTGCACAGCCAACATATAAGACTAAAGTAAAGATGTTTACCTGTTTACCCATAATGCACAGGGCTATGTTTGGTGAAAACCAAACACAGAAAACCATCATAAACACTTCATACCAACTGTCAAACACAGTGCAGAAGTGATGATTTGGGCTTGTTTTACTGCTGTAAGACAACCCTGCAGTCAACCATGAAGGCCAAAGTATTCTAGAGTCAAATATGAAGGTGTCAGTCAAACAACTGAAGCTTGGATCTGGAACTGGATCTGAAACCAAACAACCACCCAGCAGCTAATCTACAACAGAATGACCAAACAAGTAAAGAGTCAATGCAATTGTCCAGACCAGGTTGACTGAATTGTTGTGGTAGGATCTTAATAGAGCTGAGCAGAAACTAATGTCTGCAAACCTCAATGAACTTATAGGCAATGCTGGTAAAAAAAGAGTGGATCAAAGTTCCTCCACAACCATTTGAGAAACTGGGCTCACTTCCAAAGCAGATTTGCTATCATGGAATAGAAAGTGCACATGGTTGTTAACAGAGGACAGTGTACAACATTACAGTGCTGTTGATGTAATAACTTTGACAACTTTATAAAATGGTGGGAAACACGTTAAAAATGATACTTTTTGGTCATTTTGTTTACCCTATTCATTTTAAACATAATTGACCACAATTCAAAACATATAAGAAATGATTACAAAAACTGTTGTCTTTGAGGACGGCACAGTAGCTGCTGCCTCTCAGCGAGCAGGTCGCCCCCGGTTCAAATCCCAGTCTGGAGGCCCTTCTGGGTGGAGTTTGCATGTTCTCTCCGTGCATGCGTGGGTTTTCTCCAGGTACTCTGGTTTCCTCCCACAGACCAAAAACATGCATGTTCGTTTGTCTCTATGTGTCCCTGTGATGGACTTGCAACCCGTCCAGGGTGTACCCCGCCCCTCGCACAATGATTGCCGGACATGGGCACCGGCGACCCCCGTGACCCAAAATGGAAGAAGCGGGTAAAAGAAAATGAATGGATGGATGTTATATTTGAAATATCTGTTCATGCCAATACAAATACAATACAATACATAAAAGTTAGTGGAATACGGACTCGTCAATGACAGAAATTCTTTTGTGTGTCTTTTTAATAAATGTGTATAATTCTGGACAATTCAGAAAACACTGTTTAATATAAGTTTGCAGGTTTTTCTTGGAGATTTTTTTTTTAACAGCAAATAGATTTATGTGTAATGTTATTTTGTGTAGAGGATTTTGTAAATAAAGCAGTATATGATCAGCATAGTCCCACTAAACTCCATCATGCATTGGGGTCTAACCAGAGTGAAAACACCTGTGGTGGTGGGGATGGGGGTGTACAACTTCAGCCATTATTGGATTTTAGTGTAAAAATGTTCAGTGATCTGTCCGTGCTCTCTCTTCTACACACACTTCATTAAGTCTAGCCTTAAGAGTGCACGCAATTACACCCATAGATGTCACTTTAACATAATAAATCCACTAAATGCAACCAGTCCTCTTCCTCCTGCTACAAGAAGAATGTGTACAGACCAAAAAATGATGTCAATCAAGTTTCAAGTGACTGAGAGTCCCCTTATCCAGAGTTTTGGTCAATTTCCCAGACAAGAAAAAGCAAAAGTAAGAAATGGATAAAGCTTGGAAATAAGACTGGGCAAGAGTGTAGGGAGGAGGGTGGAAGAAGTTATATATCTCTCCCTCTTTGCATCACAGGCTTTGTAAGGGAACAGGGAAAAAGCATTTACCTTTGTCATCCAAGCGACAGAGCCTTCACACAACCGGACCGGAGCTCCAGCTTCCACAAGGGGAGAAAGCGATAATAATTCCCGACGTGTCCATTTTTTTCTGTCTCCACTGACTGTGCGGATAAAGGATTCAAAGTAAAACCATGCAAAACCCCGCGTTTATTGTGGAGAGAATACATCAATGTGCAGTGGGGGGAAAGGAAAGAAAAGCGATTTTTACTCCACAAAACGAGCACATCCAGGGCGAGAGGTGGAAGGGAGGATTTTGTAAAGATGTGAGAATGCATTAGAATGCGAGAAATTGTGTGATGACGAGAGGTACGGTTGGGAGCTGGATAGATCTGCATATGGAAATTAAGGCTCGATGGTTAAAATTCTACTTAAATAGCTGCATTCTGTTGAATTAGCTGCGTGGAAATGTCACGGCAAAAAAAAAAAAAAAAAAAAATCCAGGTGCCACGACTGTATACTAAATGTGTGGCTCACGTATCTGAAAGAAAATGAATTTGAATACAATAAATATGGCCATATTACGTTCAAAACCAAGATTTTACTTAACATTTGTTTTCGAAGTGGTCGAAAAATGTTTTTTTTTTTTTTTCCGTTTTATTAGAAGGAATTAGCGAAATTATATTGCTTGTTATATGTCTATGCTGCAAACAATCTGTTGCTGGAGAAACGACACGGCGACGCAGGAAGTACTTAGCAGGGAATTTTCTTGTAACGGAAAACGAAGGACATGTCTTTAACCCCGCCTTCTATGAAACTGACCAATCATGAGACGGAAGAGCGAGTGTACGCATGCGTGTAGCAAAGGCGCGGAAAAAACAAGTAAAACAACAAAGACATGTCGGCTGTGTCTACTACTGCTTTGATTTTACGCTAAATTACTTCACAAGCTCTACGAAATACACGGTAAGTTAGTGGTTTATTAATAGCGAGTTTCTAGAGCTGTTGGGTTTGGTAAAATAAATCTTAATTTAATGTGTCTAAAGGACAGGTCATGTCATAAAATCCAGTCGAGAGAAAGACGAGGCAGAAATAATTTAGGTTTCTTTTTGTTGGTCATTATTCTTTAAACAGTGGTGTAGCTGTATATTAGATGTGATGTGATTTGCGGTGATTTATCATGACTAAAATTCTCTAAATGTTAGGTCACACAAATGACACCCTTGAGTTAGTGGTTCCCAAAGTCCGGGTCGGGAACCCTCATGGAGCCATGAAGCACCAAGTGTGGGGTCCTGAGAAGGTCTATGGAAATCAATTTAACTTTAAAATGGATTACAGCCTTATCTGTTTCAAAGTTATAAAATAATATTCGTAAATGCATAAAAATCTGTAACATGATTAAGCTAATTTTCAAATAGCCTTGTTAACGTTTGTATACTTCTTTACTGTATATTCAAGATCATAATTCTGTGCAGCTTGTATTTTGTTTAAGTTTGTAAATCCCAGCCTTAGGCTACTGTGTCCACAATGTGACATTTAACCTGTAATAGCTTGTGAGTAATTACTTGTTACTTTTGATTTTCAAACAGTGAAACTCAAACATGTTTTATTGTCTCGCTCTCATTCAGGTGGTTCTGATCGTGCACCAACAGCATGGCCGATGACTTCAGCGAGTCCCTCACTCCGCCAGTCTCTCCCTTTCGAGCAGACAGCCAGTGTGACCTCACCCCCACCCGACCACCGTGCTTCTGCTGCTCTGAAGTGAAAGACGACCCCGCGGGGGCTCTTTCCACTGATGCGTACATTGCACGAGGGTCTCTGAAACGGTTTGTTTAACATCTGTCAGCATAATCACAAACATACATATACCTGTCAGGAGGCTGAGTTTGTTGAATGCTTTGGTGCTTCAAAAACCACATATGAAGTAACAAAGAAAGGTTTTACTTACCCGTAATAAAAACAAACACATTTTTGTCATTGCGCTTTCTTTTAAGGCTGCTACTGCGTCTTGATCCAGCACCTGCAGAGTATGAGACCGACACAGTGGAGATTTTTGGCTTTCTGTGGGTAACAGAGACGGCGCTGGTGGAATCCACAAAGTTACTCTTTGGTTTGTTCAGGTAAGGCTAGTTAAAGGCAACTCTCTTTGAATTATGTAAACTATTGGTCACTTGAACCAGTTTCACTTTAATCTGTATGCCTGCTTATGTTAAAGGTTAATAACGGAACCGCTTAGAGAAGGATTCTCCTTTGATAATGAAAAATAATAATATTCATCACATTTCATTCATAGACAGAGTCTGGTCTTATCTAAGTTCTGTTGTATTTCAGACAAAATGTTTACAAGCTGGAGAACTTGGTGAAGTCCAACTCACATGATTTTGGTAAGTCTGTGTATAAATGTAACACAATCAAGACTAAACATACTTTGCTTTGCATGACAGCAGAATGCATTGTAACACCATCATAATGGTAATCACTTGCATATGGACATAAGATCAGATACAACTTTATTGGTCCTGCAGGAAATTGCTGTGCCAGAGTTTCAAGCCAGCTCTCATATGTATGCATGTCTATGTCTACACATGTTTTTGATGTTCCAAAATATTTTGGGTAAACGTATATGAAACAGCTATGAGGTTCAGCTATTTGGTGGAATTTGACTTATTGTGCATCAGATTGTCTTGCAATTAAATAAAGAGCTCAAACCCCAACAGAATATATCTTGAAAGGACTTAAATATTGCCTTTTATGTTTGTAATACTATGGTAAGTAACATTCATTTTGTTTTTAGGACAAGCAGGTAGTCTGCATTATGAAGCAGAAGACCTTCGACAACAGTGCGTTTCGTTTCTTCAGTATATAAAAGTCTTCCTGCACAGGTATCAACATATTTAACGCTCACGCTTGTAACAAGAAGTTATGCATTTAATTAGGGATGCACAATATTATCGGCATGTATCGGCCGATATTAGCGATAAAGTTAAATATCGGACATCAGCCATTCCATCCAAGTGTTACATAATTTTCAGCCCCTTTTTGGCATCTGCATTTGGTAGCAGGACAAAACTGGCAAAGACCATGCAGAATAATGTAGTGTTTTAATTCCACAGCAGAGAAAGCTATGTAGTCTGTAAATAAGTCTAGGGAAAACCCCCATTGATATTGGTATTGGTTATAAGCCAAATAAGTTTGAGCATATCGGCCAAAAATCCAGTATCGTGCATCCCTACATGTAATCTTGGTACTTTCATGAGTTTTTCAGGTTTTCCTGTATTTTTTATTGATGTGGATATAGATATCTGGAACCTTCGAGGTCCCTGGACGTGGCTCCCTCACATCCTTATGAGGAACTAGAGCATCAGTTCCCCTCCGCTCTTCTGGAGGAATTGTTTGGCATCACTCTCCTCATTGGACGACTCAAGGACCTGCCTGCCGGTGTTCAAAGTGCTTTCAGTATACAAAACCAAGGAAAGGTACTCCTGAACATTCATCCTCCATGACAGACTTCAGCTCAGGTGTTGTGTAGCATCAGAATCAGCTTGTTCTAAAAACAGAGGAGATTAAAGAAGGAGCTGTAAAATAAGGGGCTTTACAGGAAACTATCAAGTTAAGAAAAACATAGGCTTCTTTTCAATTTAACACTTTTTTTTCTTGATCTCTAACATATTGCACATTCCTCACAGATTTTCCCTCCCTCCTGGCATCTGCTACATCTTCATCTTGACATCCACTGGTCGGTACTGGAGATCCTGCATGCTCTTGGTGAGAAGATGCGAGGTATGTGGACAGATTACTGAGTCAGAAAGTGGGAACGCAGCCATCTTTACTTGTGACACATGGTTTGTGTATGTTACACCGAGTGCTTATTGCTGAAACTGTCTCCAGGCCAGGTGGTGTACGCCCACCAGTTTGTAAACCTGACGGGTGAGAACCTGACTGATACCAGTCTGTTTGAGGAACACTTGTGCAGTCTGCTGTGTGACCTTACTGGCCTGGCCATGAGCAAGTACAGCAAGGTGGGTGACCATTTTTATACATATGTTGGGTTTTTTTTTTGGTCTTTTTTTGCTGAAAAGATGTGACAGTCATTTTGTGTAACTGCCACAGTTTGCATGTGTTAAGCAGACGCTGACTCAGAGCTCCTGACATCCAGCACAGTATATTAATTATAGGTCTAACGTTCCTTGAAGGAATGAAGGAACGCCTTTTCTTCCCAAGTATTAAAAGAAAATAATTTTAGAATGAAAAGGAACAGATGTCGGTGTCTGAGGTCAATTAGCCGAGTGGCCATCTTAAATTGGCTCGACTCCAAAAGTTAATAATCTGTATGTGTACATGCAATGATGTCATCCTTGGAGTTTCACCAAAATACATATTAGTAGTTCATGATATTTTGCTAACAGTGTTGACTCCCAACAGTTCATGTCAAAGTTTTAAGCAAAGGTCTTGTGTAATGTGGAGTGCCTGGAGTATGTGTTGTGAATGACTTTCAGCTTCTACCACAGAAAGTTTTAACGCAAAATCTGTAAAATTGATTGAGTTGTAGCCGTTTTTCTATCGGCCAATGTCAATTAGCTGTGGTGGCCATTTTGAATTGGACTGAGTCCAAAGATTAATCAGTTGAAGATGATGATTCTTGAGAGTTTGATTAAAATGTGTTTAGTGGTTTGTGATTTATTTAGCTAACAACACAAATGTTGTTGCTTGTTTGCTTTGGGTCATACAAATCACAGACCAAAAGTGCAGTCGATGTTAAGTAGATGGTTTTGTTTTGTAGGTGAGGCCCACGGAGGCGCTGACCAGCAGCCATTACCTTTGCCCCTGCACCAAAGAGCTCTGGCTCCTGCTCATGCACCTGCTGGAACACAGGAACAAAATACTGAGCACAGAGGTAACACATGCATATATGGAGACAACCAAACCAGTTAACTGCTGACATCCAGTTACTTTCTCTTTCTAGTCTTTCTGGAGTTACATGACCTCACTAATGAGACCACTGGTTTTAGAGAAACCAGCAGCAGGGCTCTTCGGTGGCCTCCCCACACACTGTAAAGACCCACTGGGTTTCACATGGTGGTTGGTCACTCACTTAGCCATGTTGGGCCAGTACGACAGCAGCGGCACAGTTCAGAGTGAGGTAAGAAGCAAACGTTTCCAGCGCTGAGTCAACGTGTTACTGAAGAAAAACATCTGGAGGCATTAATAAAAGTGTTTGAGAGGATGGCCCTGACAACAAAGCCATCATTATGAAACATGTCAGATATAATTGTTATTAAAAGTATCAGTAAATAACAAGAAATGGATAATAATTATATTATTCAGCACTAAGCATCAGATTAAATATAAAGTAGCTTTACCATTTCTGAAATAATTAATTTTATTTGAGATTGCTTTTGGTTTATCCATCTTTCCATCTTGTACCGCTTCTTCATGGTCGGGTCCCAGGAGCAATAGGTCCAAGAGAGAAACCCAGACGTCTCTCTCCATCACACTCCAACATCTCCTGGGGGATCCCAAGGCGTTCTCAGACCAGAAAGGATATATAATCCCTCCAGAGATTTCTGGGTCTGCCCCGGGGTGGGCCCTCTGAAGGGAGGCATCCTAACAGAACCCCTCATCAGGACGAGGCTGCCATTTGTTGGTCCACCTCTCAGCCCGTCCCACCATCACTCGTGAATAAGACGCCCAGATACTTGAACTGCTCCGCTTGAGGCAAAGACTCCTCCGGAGTGAGCGTTCCACCTTTTCACATTTGGGAACTATAAATTCAGACTGAGAGGCGCCGACTTTCAGCCCAGCCACTTCACGGCTTTTGTTTTGGTGGTACAGGAACCAAATGGCTCTTAACGATGACCCTGGTACCCCATAGTCCTGCATCGCTCTCCACTGAATGCCTGGGGAAACACGGCCGTAGGCCTTCTCCAGATCCACAAAACACACGTGAACCTGAGAATCATTCTGCCTTAGCAACTCTGAAAGAGTAAAGACCTGATCCACTGCTCAGTGAGAAGGATGAAAGCCACACGTTCCTCCTGAATCCGAGGTTTGACAATCAGTCAGAGCCTCTCTTTAAGCACCCTGGAATCAACTTTTTCGAGGAGGCTAAGAAGTGTAATCCCTTGATAGTTGAAGCGCACGTCCCAGTCTGCCACTCCACAAGCGTAGTCCCAGTCCTCCATGCAACATCAAAGAGACTTTTTCCACCATGAGAGCTCCAGAATATCTTGCAGCTTCTGTGGTTGCGGATGCAAAGTCTCTGGCGTGGGAAGAATTTGGAGAGGCCATGATGAAGGACGTTCAGTTGGCCTCAAGACAGTTCTGACGCCAGTCAGTACCTCGGAAAGGGAGAGCTGACCCCGTCCCAGGCTGTGCTTAGTTTGGGCAGGAAGCTGTGGTCTGTGGTTGGGACATTGTCTGACAGTAGAAGGAGCTCCGTAATCTGTTCACCATGTCCATGGTTTAGGTTTTGTGTTCTGTTTATTGCATTTATGATTCAATGCAACAAAATAAACAATGTAAAAGGTAACAGGTCATTGTAATACTCAGTTTATTTATATAATGACTTTAATCGCTGGATGTCCGGCCCCTGAGCTGCTGCTTTCAGTAACTGTGGCCCCTGAGCAGTTTAGTTGAACAGCCCTGGTTTAAAGTGAGCTATAAGTGCAGATCATTGGTCATTTTTTAAGCAGGTCCTGGTTAGTTAATCAATCAATCAATAGTTAAGTCCTTAAAGCAAATGTGCTTTTTATATTTAAAAACTAAAAGGCAGGAAAGGTTTTCCTAAACATCACATTTTATAAAAGAAAATGAAACAATGACATTTAAACTATTCATTTTTTTCTAATAAGTCTTGTTTTTTTTTACTTTTGTTTTGTTTTTATCTTGTCTGTAGTTCTTTAAGCATAAAAACACTGACACTAGTGCACACATCTCTGTAAAATGTAAATTTAACATTAAAAGTAAATGTTTTGTGGTCAGATGTTGACAATTGATCACAAACAGCAAAATCAGGTTTTTTGTTGTTTTTTTTTACTGGAAATGTATAAAGTTTAACATTAAAAATTGCAAACACTGAATACTAGAGTGACAATGTTGGCTTTTGTATCTTTTACCCGTTTCATTATTTTCAAATCATTTCTGCATGTGTATGATTTGTAGAGGCATGCATGTGACAAGATGTTCAATGTGTTGTTTTCTGCACTTTTAGAAACATCTGGGGGAAAACTGGGCCTTTGTAGAAGAGCTGCTCAAGTTAACGTGTAACCCCAAGGTCAGCACTGCTTTTACACAGTTTTTTTTTATTTCTACATGTTTTATTCTTCGTTAAATAAATTAGAAGTGTGTGTTTGTGTTTAATAACAGGCTGGTCTGGCAGAGGAGCAGGTCAGGATGCAAGTCCACTGTTGTCTCAGTCTGTATCTGCTGTGGGAGCCCAGCACCGCTGCCGTCTCCACCCTCTGGGACTACTACAGCAAGAACCTGGTAAAGGCATAAAAACCCCGGAGTAAACAGGAAGTGAACAACTCTGGTTACTTTGCCTTGATATTTGCATCTTGCTTACTCTTCGGCATTCAGTCAGAAATTGTATGCATTGTATTTGAGCATGAAATAATATTTATTATGTTCCGTCTCCTCCAGAACGCCTCCTTCATTGTGCCCTGGTTGGGAGCGTCTGGCCTGGGCACCGTGTGCAAGTCGCCCATGGTTCTGTTGGATCAGGCGCGCAGCTGCTGCGCTCCTGCCCCCCTCCACTCTGCAGGTCACACCCAGCTCTATCGCTCTGCCAACTCCTTCCACATCTTCCTTCGAGTGCTGGCTCTGTGCCTGTCCCAGGACAGGGCCGGCGGAGTCTCCCAGAGACAAATCAAAGGGAGGTAGGAACAGACAGACAACTTGGAAGCTTTACACTTCTTATTTGCTACCACCTTGAAAAGTACACAAGCTATCCTAACACCGTATGTATTAAAAGGTGGGAGTTTGAGCTGGATTGGCTTTAAAAAGTAATTACCATTCGGGACTAGGATTTATGAGATTAGTTTCCCCCCTTGATCTTCAGATGTGTGATGTGTTTGAACAGCTGTTTGGATTTGTGTCCGTGTGTTGGTGCATACCTGCAGTAATGCTCCCACACGCGTGTTTGCAAACTCTCATGCATTCGAGTCCTGTTTGTGTGCATGCCAGGTGCACCAGAGTCTCTCAGTGTGTGTCTTTGATATTTACCAAGGCCCACCAGTGAAGCAGGTGTCTCAGGAGTCAACCACCTGCTCTTCATCGCAGGCCAGACCCGAGGAGCCTGCCACTGACGCGCGCACACACAAGCTCACCACTGTGCACCTGCTGCTCCCTGCTGGGGTGACTTGGTGTACATGAAGGGACTGTTTGTGTGTGTGTCGTCTGGAAATAAAGACAACCTAAACGTTTCTCGAGCTGATGTTCCCATCATAACTGAAAGTTGGACCACGCTGAATCCCAAGGCGGCTGCGTGCCAGAGAGCGGCAGCCGCAGATAAATCCTCCTAATGGCTTCCCTCTGTTTGGAATGTGCTCAGTAGCACTGCAGACATGGGGGCTAATTAGCTAACGAGAGTGGTGGTTAATTCGCCTTAACGAAGCCGTGCTGGTTTCCAACACGGCTAGAGAATGGAGCTTTGGTGGTGGGGGACTGCAGGGCGGGGGTGGCAGGGAGCCTGGCAACAGCCAAGCGTTGCTGGGACAGCTCCAGAATTTCACCGCTCCGTCAACCTCCACCAAAACTATCACGGCTACGTCCTCGTCAGAGGAGGCACGAGGCGTGCTGACTGTATCGTCACAATGTTTCGGCAGCGTTCCCACTCCTGGGCGGGCTCGGTGGGAGGCCGACAACAATCACATTAAATGGGATCGACCGCGAGCATGTTGATCTCCAATGCCAGGAGTTGGGAGCATCTGCTCGCCTCCGCTGAAAAAACAAGTGTCTGGAATAAACAAACAGACAGGTTGGGAGAAAGAAAAGCCCCACTGCTGTTCCCAGTGTGCTGCTCCTATCCCTGTTTCATATTATTCACTCATCCAGTTAAATCTCCCACCCCTCGAGCTCTGTACGTTTGGACACCTCCTCCTTTTATAGTCTTCTGTGGGTGTAAATAAGCCGGATATGGTGTTAACTGGGACTTCCCCAGCTCTCCTCTCACCACCCTCGTATCAGTCATATCTCTTAGTTTGTCTCGTGACGCTCGCTGTTTGTGTTTTGACCCAAGCAGCAGCTCCTCTCACCTGTGTGGGCTGCATCTGTGTTTGGGAGACGGGCTGGGGGGAGCGGGAGTTTCAGCTTTCTGTGTTCTCCTGCCAGGCAAACAGCAAGTTGGATGTGTGTGTGTGTGTTTATTGATCGGTCTCTGGTGTTGCAGTAAATTGGTTTGGCTGTAGAGTGAGGGACCGAGCACCTACTGCTGTGTGTCTGAGTGTCTCTGACATTTAACATGATCTTTAAAGGCATTTCTCCACAGTGCCCGCAGGATCTAACAGCGTGCTGGGTGGTGCTCCGTTCGTACTCGCTCCCTTACTTTCTCTTTTTTTGTTTTTTCTCACTTGCACACGCACACACACAGATGCTGGGCAGGCCCGTCTCGTCTTTCGCCTGCAGCTTAAGTGGTGATTGGATGATGCACAGTTAGTCAGCATTTAAAGACAAACATGCACTCTGACGATCAGCTGTGGCAGGGACATTCTCAAAGTAGAAATATTGGAATTTTTGTCAAAAGGATGAGCGGCTGGGAGCTGCATGACGGCTGAAGTTTGTTGTAGAAGCTGAAACTGAATAGCTAAAGTTAAAACAATTAGCTTAAAAGCTAAAATTAGAAATCAAAATGTAATAGCTGCAATTTCTGAACACTACCTAAAAAGCTGAAAGCATCAAAACAGTAGCTAAAAGCTACAACTAGCAAAACAGTCCCTAAACCAGCAGAAAGGTACCTAAAAGCTAAAACAAAATGAAAGTTAAACAGTAAAACCAGCAGAAGAGTAGCCAAAATTAGCCAAACAGTAGATAAAATATAAAATGAGCTAAACTATTAAAGTTTAAAACGTGCAAAATTGTAGCTTAAACCAACAGAACAGTAGCTAAAAGCTGAAAGTTCCTAAATAATATCTAGAAGCCAAAATTAACGTCACCGTTCATATTCACAAAATGCTGACTAGAAACTAAAACTAGCTAAATGATAGCTAAAAGTTAAAATTAGAAGAAAAATCTGTGACGGCTAAGTTTAACAAAGCAGTAGCTAAAAGGTAAAAGTAGTAAAATAGTAGCTAAAAGCAAACCAAGATTTCAAAGCGCATGAAGTTTTTTTAAAGATGTGAAAAACTCTCAATGCATTTCAATGACACATATTTCCAAATAAAGTTAAATAATTCAAATAATATAAAAGTTACAACAACAAAAGTTATAGCTGTAATGTCCTGAGTGGGATAAATGTTTTGCTACCAGGAAGGCTAAAGTAGCTGAAAGTGTTCTGAAGTTGGTCAAAAACTATCAGGATTATAAACATTAAAACAACAGTGTGCATGCTTACTCAGCGTTTACACATGAACTGTTAAAACCAAATCAGCTACAGTTTTACCTCAAGTGTTGCAGAGAAGATGCTTGCACTGACCTCCATGTGTTTGTTCTCCGTGTTTCCAGGATTTACTCAAAGTTCTCACCAAAGAAGATGCAGGAGCTGTCGGAAGCAGGACTCGTGAACTTCCTGCTGCTGTTTCTGGTCGTGGCCCGGCAGGTGGAGCTCGAGGACGTGGCGAACAGAGCCTGCGAGCTGCTTGGCTTTCTGCCCGCTAACTGCCCCCCTGCGCATCGCACGCTGGTCTGGAGAGGGCAGCTGTCACTGCTGCTGCTTTTCCAGGTACGTCTGCTCATCACCACGCTGTAAATGCAGTCACTGAGATTAATGTGGAAGGGTGATGAAAATACACGAGTTTGAGAGTACGATGTTTGCTCTGATCGTGAACTACAGGAGAGAGGTTTGGATGTGGGTGCCCGGGCCAGCTGTGTGGCTTCTTCCTTCAGTGAGACAGCCAAGGAGTTCTACAAAAAAAGCACAGAGGTCTCGCGCAGACTTGCCCTCTGGGGGCCGCTCGGCTCCTACCTGGAAGGAGCCGCCGAGGTGTTTGAGACCAGCACGAGCCTGGACCTGTCGGAGGACAAGCTGCTGAGCGAAGGGTTTGATTGGCTGCTGCCTGCGTGTCGCCAGTCAGAGCTGAACTCTGCTCTGGGCTTTCTGCACATCGTCCTCGCACAGCTTAGGTGAGACACTCTCTCTTCCTCCTCATCCTTCCACCATTATCAGGCTGCAGCAAACGGTCACCGTTGTCAGATGTTTCTTGGCAAAGCTTTTACAAAGTTGCTGCAGCGGAGGAGACTGATGTGCTTTGCTCTTCCCAGGGTCCACTCACTTCTCATTCTGACAGTAGGAGAATTGTGCAGTCAGCAGGAACGAGTGTCTGTAAAGAATCTGTTTTGTGCCGTGGCCCCTGTTGGGTCTCAGGAGGCCCTGTGGCCCCCATGTCACCTTCCCCAGGTGCTCCCAGAACCCAGAATAAAGTGACTGGCACAGGGGACCCTCTTTGGGCCCCTCGTCATTTTGTTGGTGTGAGAGACTGTGGTCAGCGGAGCATCAGGATGGGTTCAGCTGTGGGACAGGGGTGTTCGTTACATGAGCAAGCCCCGGCTGAAGATTAGAGGGAGACGGCTGAAAGAGTGTGTTGATGTAGGGAAGCAGAGATGAGAGCTGAGGCCACAGCGGGGGGGCTGAAATGATGATAATCTTTCTGTAGTCTCATATTGTCAGTGAGATCATTCATGTTCGTCATTGTTTACAATAATCCTCTACCATATCATTGTAAGATGCAACAAAGACTTCAAGGAAGCGTTTATAATAATTTAAAGACTTTCTCCAACACAAGTTAACTACAACTAACCTGATATCTAACACAACCACTTCTGGTCCATACCCTTTTTAAATTAGTGAATATTTGCTGCTTACATATGAATCAGCACAAAAACAAACAATTACCAGTACAGCCCAGTACTTACAGTGCGTGGCACATACTGTGTGCTTACCCTGTACTTACCAGGTACATAGCCGGTAAGTACCAGGTACTTCTGGACTACACTGCCCCATTTAGCCAAATAAAACAACCACTCACTCTCGTTCCAATCATCCCACCAAATTAAACATAATTCTTAAGCCTTAATCTTTTTGTGATTACTGTTTTTTTATTGTTGTGGTGCAATTACCAGATAATTATGTAAACTGGCAAACTGAGTCGGTGCCTCGTTATTTCTATTAGGAGTCATGTGGAATCTGCACACATTAAAGGGATTAATCTGCCAATGGTCAAGACCGCGGAGGGTCCGAACATTCACTCCTGATGGCCGTCATCTTGGTACCGTGGCAGGAAGCCAGGAGCAGGACTCACTAGCTTTGAGTTCCCATGATGCTCTGCTTTGGAAAGACAGGCAGGTTGCAAGTTGATGAGATGAACTTTTGGCAGCTCGTCCTTTTTTTTCCACAATTATTCTCTAAACGTGTCTTCTGGTGACTTTGTCTTGTGTTAGACCTTTAAATGGACAACAAACTCTTCTAATGAAGAGAATATAGAAACCTCGCTACATTAGATAGAGAACATCAGGAAGAAAAGGAGCTGGAGCATGTGCACTGTGTTTATGTGACGTTCACATGGTGAATGCAGTACTGTACGTAAGCAGCCACAATGAGGAGGTTCTCTGACGATGTCTTGTACAATGAGGGCTGATGGGTGTGAAGGGCCCATTTCACAGGAGTAACAAGGCTAATGAATTCAGACTCTAATCGATTGTCTCAGCTCTGGATTAGATGCAACCTTGCTGGAAGGGAAGGCACAGCTGATGTGTGTGTGTGTGTGTGTGTCTACCTTAGTGGAACAGTAAAATGCATGGCTGTGAGAAGAAGGGGGCTGCTAGTGCCTCATCTTTTCCTCTTTCCCCAGCACACCTTAACCCCTGCTTTTCACACCCCCATCCCAGAAATGAGAGGGACAGAGGGATCATCTTCAGTCCAAATGAGATTACAGCTTCTTCGGCTGCTTATCGGGACTAATGCCAGCCTCTGTGGGGCTGCTGCAGCTGATGCCAGGGCCAGAGCTGAGCCACAAGAGCCAAAGTATATTCTGTGTTCAGGGGATCAGCATTAGGCTCCACTCTGCCTGTGATCTCCTCCTCCTCCTCACCTACCTCCACCCCTCTGCAGCGCATCGCCGCACTCTGTAATCCCCCATGAGAGAAAAGAGAAAACACATGAAGGAGCAGTGAAAGAGGAACAGGGGAGCAGAGGAGGGTGGAGCTGTGGATAGATTTGTTGATCTGTTTTTTTTTGTCTCGTGTCCTTCCAGACGGGTCCATCAGCGCGGTGTCCAGTCAGCTCCCACTCTGGCCTGGGCTCCTGCCACAGCCAATGTGATAAAAGAGCGCCACCTGGCGGTGGCTGCTGCTCTGTGGGCGCACTTCTTCCCCTTCCTGCAAAGCCTGCGCCTCTCACACACTCCTCCAGCACAGCTGGCAGATGCTGCTGCAGGTCAGTAGCCCCACTGAGAACAAGACATTAAGTGTGTGTGTGTGTGTGGGGGGGGGGGTGTCTGAGCAAGGTTTTAACCAAAATGAGTTTAAAAAAATAAAATAATTGTTTGATTATACTTAGAGAAATGCATTCAAGAGGATTCTTCATCAGTTTTATAGCATCAACGTTCAGTGAATATTGTAGCTCATGTGATTAAACGATGACCTAATTTAATTTCACTTTCAGGTTTCACCTTCCTGGCCTTTGATCTGCCCAGTTCTGCCCCCCAGGACCTTCAGCCCAACCCGGTCCAGTCCATCATGCAATCGTTCGGCTGGGATGACATGGTTCACACGCTGCTTGTGACTCGCTACCTTCCTCATGTGCTCCAGAACAGGTGGGGTTGGACTTTCAGGGCTGCTGCAGTTAGTCATCTTAAACAAGACTTACGGGCTACTGGAATATTAAGACAAAAGATGTTATTGTTTTTAATTTTCTAAAATATGAGCTCTTCCAGTGTTTTACACAAATAATACAAATACAGCTGCAGCTTCATTTATGTCAAATTTTAATGCATTTCAATTCAGTTTATTTAAATAGCACCAAGTCACAGCAGAAATCTTCTCAGGGCTCTGAATAGAAACATTCATATATAAAAATAATAATTTAACAATATTTATCTGAGGAGCAGACTGCGTTGAGTTTAACTCCATCACTGAACTCTTATGTTGAGCATGAAGGAGACAGTGGAAGGAAAAACTCCCTCATGAGGAAGAAACCTTTAGCAGAACCAGGATCAGGACAAGTGGCCATCTGCTCCGACTGGCTGGTTTGAGAGGAACAGATACACAATGGCAGGTCCAGAATCACTTATTAAGATATAAATAGTATTAAATGAAAAGATAGCCCATCACCTCAGAAATCTGTGATAAAAGTTGTTTTAGCGTTGTAGAGACAAGAAAATGTTTATGCCATTAAATTAAAACTATATAAATTTCAACTCTCTGTGAAAATATAATAAAGTGTATTCAAGCACAAAAAGGTACGGTAAATGTGCCTGAATAAATAGCATACTTTATCCTCTTATTCAATAATCCAGGTAAAGAAATCCAACAAAGTTAAGTCAGGTCCTCTGAACAGTTTCTTTATGTTGAAACATTTCGTCTTTCATCCAAAAGACTTCATCAGTCCGAGGAGCTGCAACAAACTCAGTCTTATAAATAACACCTTGTCATAGTGGGTCAACCAGTTTGATGGTGCTCAGGTGGTTTCTGGAGTCCGCGCTCTCCCCCGCAGACTCGTTTGAGGCAGTCATGGCTGAAGTGGTTCAAAACATCTTGGTCCATGCTCAGTAATCCAGGTAGAAACATCCAACAAAGTACCTGAAGGGACCTGACTGAGAATTATTGGATTTTATACCTGGATGATTGAGCATGAACTTTGTTACCTGAAAGGACCCGACTCATCTTTGTTGGATTATCCTCTTATGTTCAGCGTCATGATTCACCCTCGCTGGCTACGTGTGCCATCGACACACACGGCTCAGTGAATCCCTGTTTCTGTCTTTTCAGTGAGCTGGCGTCCTCTCTGTGCACTGGTTCTGAGTCCGGGTCGGCCCAGGGCCTTTCAGTGAGAGCCTGGTTCAGATGTGTTCTGCAGCAACACCTCCACAAGAACCTAGATGGAACTGACAGCAGAACGGGTACGAACGCCTACAGTCCGACACGCCATGACACGAATGACCCCGCAGCAGATGTAGTGTTTGTCTTTGGATTGTTCCATGATTCTAACTCTGCTCCGACTCAAACACGTTCTCCAAACCTGTTTGTTGTGTGAATGTTCATGAAGCGTTCACACTATTGTGATCCAGTTTCTTCTGTACGTTTTCCGGCATGATTCTCGCCCCGCAGTTTTTGTGCCATTTCAACAAATCACACATCAAAACATTCAGCTGTTTCAGGACAATCCTGCTATGACTTGATGCAACTTTAGCTTTTTTAAATATTTAGCCTTTTCTGCCACGGTTGTTTTTCTCATCAAAAATGAACTGAGCTCATTTTCCATCCTTCAAATCTTTGGATCTCTTTACAACCTTTTACTGCTCCTTTACATTTTGTTCTACCTCAGCTTCTTTCAGCTAATTTCAGCTGTTTGTTCAGCTGTTTTGTGCTCCTTTCAGATTATTTCTGCTAAAACATTTTTGTGCTTCTTCTAACTTCTTCCTGCTAATTTCAGCTTGTTGTGCTCCTTTCAGCTTATTTATGCATGATTTAGCTTTTTCTGCCATTTCAGTTACTATTTAGCTATTTTTATACTAATTTCAACTTTTTTCAGCCTAATTCAGCAAAAATGTGTTCTCTTCACTTCCTTCTGGTAATTTAAGCTTCTTTCTGCCTTTTTAGCTACTTTTCAGCTGTTTTTTGCTCATTTCTGCTTCTTTCAGTCTAATTGGGCAAATGTTCTGATTTCTTCTGCAAATTTAAGCTTGTTCTACTTTTTCAGTTACATTTGTAGCATTTTTAGCTAATTTCAGCTGGTTTGAGATAAATTTAACTGTTTTGTGTTAGTTTCTGCTACTTTCAGCCTAATTAACTTATTTCTGCTAATTTCAGCTTGTTATGCTCCTTTCAGCTTATTTCTGCTAGTTTGCATTATTTCAGCTGCTATTTAGCTGTTTTTATGCTAATTTTAGCGCTCATTTCTGCTCATTAAAACCTAGTTCAGAAAATATGTGTTCTTTCTGCTTGCTTCTGCTAATTTAGGCTTGTTCATTCATTTCAGCTACATTTCTGAATGTTTTTTCTTGAGCTAATTTCAGCTGTTTACAGAACAGCACGTTCTTCTGCAATTCACACTGCATTTTTGCAGGAAATGCAAGTTCTCTAGTTAAATAGTTTCTGGTGGTTTCTGTAAAGGGGCACGTTTTCTTTAGGTCGTCATTTGTTTGTGTTTTCTTTGCTTCAGGTCGGGCTGTGGAGGAGCAGCTGTGTGAACTGACCCGACTTGTGCTCAGGCTTCCAGAGGTGGACCGTCTTTTGCAAAGAGCCGGACTTAATTCCACAACCCCCCAGCTGGATCCCACTTCAGCCCTCAAGATGTTTATCAAGGTATTACAGATTAATAGGGTTCTACAAAATATTGACTCATAAAAGCAAATCCTGTCTTTAGTTTTTGTCAGTTCATGTGAGTTGTATATTAAAACAAACGGCTCACGTGCAGTAACTAAGCCTTCTTATCAGCCTGTACTGTATATTGTTATGATGAGGCCTGCTGTGCTGCTGCAGCGTGCATTGACACTGAACGTGGAGACAAACTGAAGTGTGTGTTGTTGCGTGGCGTCAGGCTGTAGGCCGCGTGTACAGTGAACTGCAGCTGCTGTCGGAACGATCAGCCATGGTGACCAGAGCCCTTCACTACATCGGTGACATCCTGAAGCACATCAAACCGTATGTGGTCAGCAAGAACCAGGAGGGACTCCAGCTGGCGTACTGGGCTGTGGGTAGGTGCTGGATGCTCATCTGTTCAGTCTTCAGCTTTCTGCTTCTAGAGAGAAGCTCTGGCAATGAGCTGAACTCTTGTGTGACCCAGGCTGCATTGTTAAGCACTGGAGCCCCCTGCTGGCCACTACCAAAGCTCAACCGCTGCTGTTTCGGATCGTGGATGGGGTGCTGCTCCCACACCATCTCCCACTGCAGGACAAAGCCCTGAGGGACAGCTTGCCCCTCTACCTACAGGTTAGGACAAACGTACCCCGAGCACAAACACATTCTATCATCACACATCAGTCCTCCGTGTCAACACAATTTATTATCCTCCAGGGTCTGTCGGTGGCCTCGAGCGTGTCTCAGTCGCAGGGCGCGGGCCTCAAGCAGCAGCTCCGCTCTGTAGTCCGCAGACATCTGGACCATTTCCTTCCTGCCTCACCTTCTGTAGGCGTCGTCGCCAACCACCCGGTGCTTCTTGGTGCCTGCGAGGCCGTGCCAACCACACGAGGAGCTGCGCTCAGGACGACCATACTGGAGGTGCTCTGGTAGGTCTACAGCTGAGAGGTGTTGCAACTAGGCTGTCACGATAACACATTTTGCTGGGCGATTAATTGTCTCAGAGATTATTGCGATAAACGATATCGTTTGAAATTTGACAATAATTAGTAATTATTGTCAAATTTAAGAAGAAATGCTGGTTAATTTGTTTTGCGTGTAGTACCTTTTTTCAACCACTGGATGGCAGTATAAGAGTTTGAACTGAAGGATGGATAGTGAGGGAGCGAGCAGCGTGTCGCTTTAAGAAAATGGGAGGGAGGCCCCTTGACGTGACATGGGCTGTCTCTCCTTCCTTTATTCATTCAAAATGGCGGACGCTCATTGTGGTTTGAGCTCTTTAGCATAGCATTTTTCACACAAAGCTTTTAATAATAAAAAATCAGTAAACAAGTTCTCAGCTTCTTTTTGCAGAGAAAAACAACTTTTTACACAAAGGCACGGGTTTCAGCCGAGAATTTTGGAGCTTCGACAAGACGTAGGTTTTCCCCGATGTCGGCCTGTTAGCTTAGCTCGTAGCTTAGCTGCTTTTAACGATCCAAAAACACGATTTTGGACGATTAAAACAGATTTTAAAGAGAAAGGGAGGTGCCAGTGAAGAGCACCGGAGTTGATCCTTTCATCACCCAGTGTCTTCAGTAGAAAGAGAGACGAAGAAACGATAAAGCCGATAAATGAAAACGAGGTTGATCATTTTTATTTATCATGCGATTAATTGATTTATTGTTTATCGCAACAGGCCTAGTTACAACGTGAATGTCATACTCGGATATGTTTCAATTACTCAGTGTTTATGAAAGACTCAGACAGAAATAACTCTGAAGCCATTATGAATTGTTTTACTGCTGCTTGAACCTTGTGTGGTCCTTTATTTTACAGCGAGAACTTCCTCAAGTTCAAAGGCCCTGCCCCTCCTCCTCGGCTCGCGTCAGTCCTCATGTTCTTGTTGGAGCTCCTGAGAAGAAACCGAGACACGGATGTTTCCCTCCTCACCCTGCCGCTCCCCTCCCTGCTGCACTGCTTGATGCTGGTCAACGAGCCACAGGGTACAATAAATGCCTCTTCTTAGATCTTCACCACCCTAACTGAGTAAAAAGTCTGATTTGATGCAGATGTGTGTGTAACTGTGTTTTCACTGATCACCATGAATAACAAGCATGCTTTATGAAACCACACCTAATCGTTTTGCTGTTCAGTGAGGAAGACGAGCACAGATGCCGTGCAGCTCGTGGTGGAGCGATGTGCTGCTGTCTCTACAGAGGGGCCCTGTGAGCAGATGATCAGCGTCTTACGGTAACTGACTGTGATTTGTAGTGATAAATATCTGCACCTGTGCACGGAGAGTGGTGCTGCTCCTCTGATAAACACTTCACCTCACTGCTTTACATCCTGTCTGATGCATGAAGGATGAGCATCCTCACTGTGCTCTCCATGCCTTCAGATCGTTCGTGGAGGAGAACGAGGGCGTCTACGACCGGCAGGTTTACGGCGTCCTGGAGACGGTGGCCGTCTTGGATCCTGCCGTGGTTCAGGCTCTCGTTCCCAGCCTGTCTGCCAGTCTGAGGAACGCCGAACACAAAAGAGGACTGGGCAAGAACACCGCCCTGAGGTGAGCGAGAACATGCATCACATCAGACAGCATCCTCAGCCTTCAACTATTTTTAAGCTGTCTAGACAACAAGTGTCAGCTGTGGAACTAGAAATATACTTTAGCGGTGCATGTTACTGAATATGACACATTTTTCTGTGTTACAGGAGTGCATACGTGAAGCTGCTAAGTCTTCTTGGACAACGTGGGCAGGCTGAGATCATCAGTCTGGAGGGCAACTGAAACGTCTTCAGAAAGACGTTCTCGGCGTCAACACTTAATGGAAACCTGGAACATTTCAGCCACACCAACCTCAATCTGACAGAGGTCGTAATTCGGCTCCCAAAAACACAAAATCCACTCCAGGTCTGCACTTTTAGAGCATCTTAACAAAATCTGAACTTGTTGTGCAGTTGAGGAGTTATTCTTCACGATTTGAGCTGGGTTATGTGGAACAGTTATGATTAAATAGTATCTTACCTGTAGACAGATCTTTGAACGAGCTCATTTTGAGGAAAATGTGTAAGTGTAACAGGACTGATGAGCTAACTGCTAGTTCCAAAGCAGCTAAAACCAAAGCACACTGCTGCCATGATAACTCCAGTCTTGGTAATTATTCAGATTTATTTGATCCCTGTCCACCCCCCTGCTTTATAATTGATGACCATTAACTGTTTTATTTTTGTCTTTAAAATGACCATGTCCACAGGATTGGGACCTAAAGTTTACTCACCCCAAGTCCTGCAGCTGAGAACCTCTAACGAGACGGAGGCATCTGGTGCAGAAACATGTTCTGCTGCTGTTTCTGCTAGTTGGATGTTTACATTTTCTTTCTTTTCCACCAGTCCAATGGTGAAATGGTCACCACTGGCCCATTCATGGACACCCCCCCTCCCACCTCCACGAATCAACACGGAGGGGGATTCAAGTGTTCTGTCAGTAAAGCTAAGCTCAACTGTGACCACTTTAAAATGCTTTCAAAATAATTACTAGAACAGAAACGGGTTGCTGGGGAGAAGGTGTTGTGTCAAAAAATGCACCCCGACTGGAAGGAACATGGTTGCAGTAATAATTCACTTCCCATCTCTTGTCATTTCCACACACAGATAGCAACAGCAGCTAGCGCTAGCTGTAGCACTTCTGGTGCAGCCTTGGGGAAACTTTGGACAAGCGTTCTTTTATTTTCTGCCAAAATAGAAGAGTAAAGGTTTAAATAATAACGTTAACGAAGCAGCACCATGAAACTGAAGATTAATTTAATATGACAGCGATCTGCTTTAAATGTGGGTCCACTTTAAAAACAATCATAATGCCATCATTTAAAGTTTTACATGCTGTCTATTTTGCTTTAAAATAATATTTTGGGAGAAAAGAAAAATCCTGCTGGAAGTGCTACAACTAGCTGCTGCTGCTATTTGCATCTACAAATGAGCACATCATTCTACAAATGACCATGAAATGTGAAAGTGATGAGCAGTGTTTTCATGAACCACTGCAGAATGTTGGAGCTGTTTACTACAGGTGGGATTTAAACGGGGGAGTGGTGGCGCAGAGGTTAGAGAACGCGAGCCTGTGATTGGAAGGGCGTCGGTTCAAATCCCCAGACCATCCTGCGTAAAAACAGTTATCAGATCTTAGTGCGATCTGCCTGCTGTGGTGAGCTCTGACGAAGGGAGCAGCCGAAAGAGAGAAGAAGAACATTACGTCGTAATGTCAGTCCTGAACCTTGCTTTAAAATGGCCGACGTATCCATTGAACAGAACCTTTAACAGTTATGATGTGCTGAGAAGTCCAAGAACAGAAGCCGTTTGAGGAGTCATCACTTACCTGATCAAGTTATTGCATATATGTGTTGTAAATATTGTAAAAACATACAGCTTTACATTTTGTTATGTGTAAAAAAATAAGTGTCTCCTTTGCCTGCCTTATCTTTCCATCTATGTTCTGTACAGGAAGTGAAGAGCGTGAGCATCAAAGAGCTATTCGCTCTTATCATGATCTGTCTGCTCAGTTAGAACTCTGAATTACAGATTTGATGAGCCCTAATGTTCAATACCCCCCACCCCCACCAAGAAGAAGCAGAGAAATACTGTTTGTTCCAGTTCTCCCTTTCACTTCTAAGTTGCAGCAATCTTGTGCAATCCGTCTTTGGTTGGCACCTAATCACATGAAGTCCCCCACAATCACCCCGTCCCATTTTCTGTCATTGCCAGTCATTTGCAGCCTCATCTAACTGCAAAGTGTCTCCTTTTCCCTGCAGTGCATGCCTTCTGTCCAGCAGCTGCAGAGGAGGTCCAAGAGATAGAGCTTTCATATCATCTGAGGCTGCAGCATTATTCCCTCAAACTGGTTTTCACATTTCTACTAAGTTGTTGCATAAACACATCTTTATTAATGTAGGAACTTTGTTCTGCACATACGTGTGTTCTGGGTGGACAAGGGAAGTGCAGGCATCTTTATTCTCCGTTTGGTCAGAGCATCTTTTTGAAAGTTCCAACGCAGAATCATAAATGTACACACCTTGGAGAGTATTCCACAAATATATGCTGAAGATGTTCAGACATTCACTTGAACATAAACAATCGTAGGTCCTGAGCAGGAAATAAAAGATAAACTCACAAACAGGTCAGCAGCATCCACACTTCACATGTCACTGCTTATTTCAACAGTCGTGTTGTTCCACTTAAAAAAACATGGCTGATCAGCTTCAGCTTTCAAAACATAGACCAAGTCATATTTATCAGTCAAAACGTGTTTGTTAGGCCAAAAAGGTGACGATAGAAACTAAAATGAAATGTGCTGCTCCATCAGCCCTATGATGGGTTATAAAATCTTTTTGAAGGTGTGGGGCAGATGAGCAGTATCAGTCCACAGCCTGTCACTTAACAGAGATGAGAATCTGTCTTTCCTCTAGATCTCACTGTGACCTCAGAATACAACAATCAGCAAATAGTCCTGTGCCCAAAGGACAGCAGCTTGTTCATAAAACTTCAAGAATTGCACGACTCAAGTCTGGAAAGTAGCATCAGAGGGTCATGTGACCCCTCTGAAGCAGCACTCACATTCCAGTCTGTTGACTGACCAGTGCACGTTGTCTGAAAGGGCAGGTCGGGCTGGGAGCGCATCGCCTGGTTGTGTGGGCTCTTCTCAGTCAGTGGTTTAAACAGCACCCATCCTGTGATGGGGGACTTGCAGAGTCTGCAGGTTCGGGCAGGTGAAGTGAGGAGCCGGGAGGAAACAGGTGGCGATCCCGTTTGAAGCGAAAGGCAGCGTTGGCCCGTAGAAAACCTCCTCCTTCCCTTCTGCGCTCAGATCCAGCACCTGCAGGAGGGAATTCATGCAGCAGAACAAAACCAACGCAGCCACGGCTGGATACACTCTGAGGACGTAGCAGCTTTTATTGCAATAAAAACATCTCGTGATTTATCAGACTTTACAATAGATCTCCATCTCGGATGAGCTTGGACCCCGAAAAGGCAGCAGGAAGTTTAAATCTCAATTTATGAGGCATTATCTTTATGTTGTAGTGTCATAAGACAAGAGGAGTTTTATTTTACTTGAAGTGTTTATGACCACATGTAGTCATTTTTAAAGATAACCTGAGCAGGTCAGAACATTTAAGTACTTTTTGCAAAAAAAAAAAAACAACAACCTGGGATTCTCTAAATATCTGATCATTTTTACAACATCATCTATTTCCCTTTTCTTGCTGTTTGACCATAATATTTATAACTATTTGAATTTAACTGTTTATTGAAATTTTATATTTAGGGGAAGTCAGTTGTTTTTCCAAATGTTTCACTGATGTGTTGAAAATGAACTAATTATTCAGGAAAATCTCATCAGGAATCTCATTTAAGAATTTTGTTCATGTTAACTTCTAAATGTTCACTTTTCTACCTCTATTAAAACTGGTTTACATTGATATGACATGTGCAATTAGTGTATTTTACAAGTAAATAATGTTCTTGTATGTATTAAACCAAACAATCTAAATGAAAATACATCTTCAAGGAACAGTCTTTGTCAGCTCCAGGATTTTGCACGTGTCCAACTCAACCATTTTTATTTACCTACACAAACTAAAGCTAGCCTTGATCACATGACTCAAGCTTCCACCTGATTTTCAGGATAATCTTTTTTAGTTTTGTTGCGTTTGCAATGAGAATTTTTAATTTATTTGTCATGTCACCAGAAAACTACCGTAGTATCTAACTTGATGTAGAATAGACATTTTTGGACGGGACCTAAAATGACAACTAAAGACAACAATGTTTATTAAAAAAGGTGGGATTTTACCTTCAGTTTAAGTTCAGACTGAAACGTAGGGTTGATACCAGATCTAGAATCTGTATTTAATTATAAATGCAGACTGTATGATGAAATTAATATAACACCTTTTACTATTTCACATGTTGTCATGTTGCAACCTTAAACTTCACAGTATTTTTCTGAGATTTTAAGAAATGTTTATGGCTTGGGCTATTATAACCTAACCATGCTTTCAACTTTGTTAAAACCTTGTCTCTGACCTGTCTGGTGTGTTCCTTGGTCTTCATGATGCTGTTTGGTAACAAACAGAACAACTGGATTTATACTACTGAGAATAAATTTCACACATGTGGACTCTACTAATTAGGCGACTTCTGGTTGTATTGTATTTCAGTTCAAGGTAAAAGGGGCTGAACACAAACGGATGCCACACTTTTCAGACTATTCGTAAAAAAAAAAAAAAAAACTTGTATCAGTAGCATTCCCTTTCACAATTATGTCCTACTTTGTGTTGGTCTATCACATAAAACCCCAGCAAATTTTTTGACTGGAGATATATATATATATATATATATATATATATATATATATATATATATACTGTATATATACTGTATATATACATACATACACACACACACATGTGTATATATATATATATATATATATATATGTACGTATGTATGTATGTGTATATATACTTTGTATATATATGTATATATACACATACATATATGTATATATATACATATGTATGTATATATATGTATATATTTATAAATATATATAAATATATATGTATGTATATATATATATACATACATATATATTTATATACATATACACATATATGTATATATATACATATATATATACATACATATATATTTATATACACATATATGTATATATATACATATATATATATATATACATATATGTATATATATTTATATATAGAAATGTACATAAACATATATATATATATATATATATATAAATACTAATTACCACAGCTCATTGTGCTGACTTAAAGGGATTTTAAAGAGTCCAAGCTGTAAAACCCTGGTCTCACCTGAATGCATGCCAGGGGCTCATTGGTCCAAATGGAGTATCCTCCAACTACGTAGATTCTGTCATCATGGACAGCAACTCCAGACTCATTTTGACCTGAGGAGAACAGGAATGAATCTGTCACTGTGCAAATATTGTAGAAGTTGTGAAAGTTATGTAAACGCCCACCCCCAAGTGAACCTAGAGAGAGAAGATGGAAGTTGGTGCAAGGGCAGAAGAGTTTAAGTGTGATTCTCTGTTCTCTTTCCCGTGACTTTGTCTTTAAACTTTAAATATAAAAGGAAGGGAAAAGATCACAGAACAAACAAGAAGAGTCAAACAGAACTGAAAAGAGAAAAGGTGCTCAGTAAAGCCTGTGATCACACGTTAACGGGAGAAAAGGTTTCAAGGGTTCGTATTATATCACTGTAGACTTATGCTACATAAAACACCAAATAACCCTAATCAACAGGGAAGTCTTATTAGTGATATTAAACTACTCAAAGGAATATAAAAAGTAAATGTCTTAACTAGTCTTGATAAACAATAAATCAATTAATTGCATGATAAATGAAAATTATCAGCCTCATTTTCATTTATCGGCTTTAATGTTTCTTCATGTCTCTCTTTCTACCGAAGACACTGGATGATAAAAAGCTCAACTCCGGTGCTCTTCACTGACACCTCCCGTTCTCTTTTCTCTTTAAAATCTGTTTTATGATGCGCCAAATGTTCTCTATAGGTGAAAGATCTGGACTGCAGGCTGGCCATTTCAGTACCCGGATCCTTCTCCTACGTAGCCATGATGTTGTGATTGCTGCAGAATGTGGTCTGGCATTATCGTGTTGAAAAATGCAGGGTCTTCCTTGAAAGAGATGACGTCTAGATGGGAGTATATGTTGTTCTAGAACCTGAACATAGTTCTCTGCATTAATGGTGCCTTTCCAGACATGCAAGCTGCCCATGCCACAAGCGCTCATGCAACCCCATACCATCAGTGATGCAGGCTTCTGAACGGAGCGTTGATAACAACTTGGGCTATCCTTGTCCTCTCTGGTCCGGATGACATGGCGTCCCAGTGTTCCATAAAGAACTTCAAATCATGACTCATCTGACCACAGAACAATCTTCCATTTTGCCACCCCCTCCATTTTAAATGACTCCTGGCCCAGTGCAAACATCTGAGCTTGCTTAGAAATGGCTTCCTCTTTGCACTGTAGAGTTTCAACTGGCAACGGCGGATGGCACGGAAAATTGTGTTCACTGACAATGCTTTCTGAGCCCATTCTGTTATTTCCTTGACAGTGACATTCCTGTTTGAGGTGCAGTGACGTTTAAGGGCCCGGAGATCACGAGCATCCAGTAGAGTTTTACGGCCTTGACCCTTACGCACAGTGATTGTTCCAGATTCTCTGAATCTTTTGATGATGTTATGCACAGTTGATGATGATAACTTAAAAGT